CACAAAATGAATGATGTACATATGATCTGCCCATAAACCAAATTAAGAAGAAGTACGTTTATGGTTATGATTATACAGTGATTCTGTACGCAAGTACTATCCTGTAAATGATATCAGGACGGCGAAAAACGCTATACTGAATAATATACACGACTATTTGGATCATTTGGGCGAATTTGAGACGAATTATAACTATAAGAAGGAGAGGATAACATTATATTTATCTATTGTCGTGACTGTTTTGATTAACTCCGTTTTACTTATTGGAAAGGATTTTCTTAAGCCCTATCCTCGGACAACATACATACTAATGGGTATTGCGGGCCTTTTTTGTTTGATTGCTTGCCTTCTCGAATCTTCACAAGCTTCAGATCGCGTGGTGTTCACGGCTGCAGGATCTTCTTTCCGTGGTAATGGCACGCGCAGGAGGGATTATCTTCGTGCTTTGAGAGGGCGTAAAATTTGTGTTCGGGTTAATGAGGTTCCAAACTCGACAAGGGTAATTATTGAGGCTCAATTGGTGGGACCTTCTCGTCCGTTTGCCGCTTCATCCGTTTACTATTCGGTTTTTAAAGAGGTTTCATACGGTAGGTATTTTAGTAAGGATGGCTTTTTTTATCCACCACCTATGGTGGAGGACGTTGACATGCTTCTTAGGTCACTAAATTCTAGCTTGCCGAAGAAAAGACAATGATCGTTATTTTCTTTGTCAGGATAAATGAACTGATGTAGAGAAGAATTTATTGAGGAAAAAATTTTTGTTTTCTCGCCTCTAACCTAAAACCGAGATTAAAAATAAATAAATAAATATTGATAATAATAAAAATGAACGACTCGTCCTTTCATCTTAATTACTTTTTCTATTTGTTTATTTATTCACTTTTTTGTTTGAACTAGATCAAAGGGAAAGGTACTTATAAGTATATATTGTTCAATGGTTTCCGTAAGCACTGTCCGTTACATTGGATACGTCGGTGCTGCAGCGAATTGGCTGATACCCATTGCTGGCATAATGAATTTTCCCACAAGGAAGCCCAGTGACATTGATCCCATGATGACGAGCATTCTTTTTGGGTACAGTGCCATTTTCCTTAGATGGGCTATCGCTATTTCACCAGCAAATTACCCCTTATTTTTGTGTCATGCCACGAATAGTACGGTGCAGATTGCAACTCTTTTGCGCTATTTTACAGCTGGAAGGGAGATTTCTTTTCCTCACACGCGGTAATTATTATACACAATCAGACTTTTTTAGAGGGTTAGGAAAAAAAAAAAAAAATGGACATATCGTTTCCTTTTTTTTTTGTGTTAAATGCCATTTGGGCTTACTTTTGCTGTTTCTGTTTTTGAGTGCCACCAGTAAATGAACGTGCATGGAAGAAAATGGTTTATTTCTGTTGTAGAGTTTTGGGGATTAATGAGCAATTATCTTTTATGGTTTTATTTTCATTTTATTTTTAGTACGCAGAGCTTTTTCTTTGCAAATAATATGGATGGTACTCAGCAATTAAGAGCCCGACGTCGCTATCGGGCTTTGCTTCGACAGGCAGAGTCTTTGCAGAAACTTGGCCAAATTGACGAGACACTCAGTGCTGAACTTCAGAAACTTGAGCAAGAGTATCCAGATTTGAAAAAAGCATTAGGATCGGTTGAAGGTGGAATACGATTAAATACGGATTGTGCAATAAACAAAGACAAGACGGAGAAAAAGTTTTTTTCTGAGAAAACAGCAACTATTACAGCTTCTACCTGCCCAACAGAGGAAAAAAAGCAGGATCTTGATTCTCATTTGGCATCGCCAGCGGGGCATTTTACCGATGAGTTGAAACACACGGATTTTTCGAATGATCGAATGAAACGGAAGCCCACTGCACGCTTTAGTGGAGGTGTCGCTTTTTTTTCCTGCGCAGTAAACATCTGGACCGAATCTCATTTACCCAGTTTGTTTAGCATATTTTCCTATATTACGATTACCTTATTGACCATTCTCGTCGCTTTTCTTCATCGCTATTTTGTGGATCCGTGCTCACTGGTGGGGAAATCCATCTCACCTCTGTTGCTTAGTTACCTTGTTCATTTTCAGGGTCTTGCTCTCATTCATTTGAAGAGGCCCGAAAGAATATCGAGGGCAATGCTTTTGGTTTACCTGGTTTTTGATGTGTTGCCATCGATGTTGTTTGTATTTTTTGTATACATGCTGACAACAATTACACTGGAACTGTTTGAGCAAGGTTTTTCCTACTAGATGGGAAAGACGATTGGGAGGGTGACCGTCGAATGTGAGGGCGGCCGGAAGAGTAAAATTTCAAATACAATTAAATAGAAGGGCCAAAGATAGCATTTTTTTTTTTTTTTTTATTGATTGAGTGTGTGTTAAATTTGCATGTGTGATGGGTTACCAATGGTTCTGCACTTGTGACTCCATTTGGATTGCCAACAGAAGCTTTTAGCCGTTCCTGGCCAATATATATATATAAATGTATTTCGTTTTTATAATTATTTTTCAATGAGGCAGTGAAAAGAAGAGAAACAAGGCAACAGCAAGAATAAGAGAGGGGTGCCTCGCTATTAGTGCGACCAAAGATATATGGCGTCCGTGGAGGCGCTACTGCGTCTCCCCACCGATGAGGTTCAATTATGTCCTCCTGTCGTTACCGACGGGGATCTCTCTGTTGTTTTTCGTGAGATGGAGACAATCATGCGGAAGTGCCTCTACGCCGTGCGGCACGCCTTGGTGGCCCCCTTTTCTGTCTTTCTTCATCTATTGTTGCAGCCAGCTATTTTGGAGTGTCAGGATGTCTCGAGAGCTCTTTTGGCGCCCATTGAAGAAGGGCGTTGCATCGACCTGTTGGCAGGCATCTGCGACACACTTTTAAGGCCCGAACAACACGAATTCCGCGGCAAGCTTAACATTGAGGGTTTTTTTGAGTTGATCCAACAGCTCTGCGCCTTTTCGACTCTGAAGGATCCGCTTGGCGTGGTACTGATGCCATGTTTTTTGACATTTCTCCACGTTGCTGTGGAAAAGGAAGATGACTACCGTCAAGGTCGTGGCTGCGCAAGCGTGCTCATCACGCTCATCCGCGGGTCAAAGGCCAACAAGAATCGGATGAGTGTTCAGTGTGGTCTCATTGGGGAAGTCTTGACAAAGTCGAACGATATTTTTTTTCAAATGCAGTGTGTTGAAATGTTGTTTCGTCTCTATACACACAATCGTACAGTTTTGTCAACCTCAACACTACCTGATTTTTTTAAGAAGTGTGTGCCGGAGCTTCCCAATGATGAAAATCTGTTAACAAGCATCCAGACATTGCTTGACGCCTATAATATGGAATACGCTAGTTTTAAACGGCTCCAGTTTACGGCACTCCTTATTGAGGCAGGTAATGAAGAGGTGTGCGGCCACACAAGCATGTATTTTTTCCCATTGATTCTCGTCATTATGATTCCAGGGTGCTCTGGGGATAACATCACCATTCCGTACGAACACATTCGTTCTGTAAAGCTTTCAAAAGAGCGGAAGCTTGGCCTTCGACTGCATGTCATCCCCGTAAGACTCTCTCATCTCATGAGCCATGATGGTGACAAAGATACACTTATGATTTCATTGACGCAGTCGACGTTCAGCGCTATTCGATCATCTGGGGTTCACGAATGGATTGCCGATAGAAAGCGTCGTGTTCCTATAAGCCTTATTCGGCAACAAATAGAGGCATCATCATTAGTAACCACAGCAGCTGCTGCTGCGAGGAGTTTTAATTCCCGAAATGCCACTATAAATGATACAGGTTTTATTCCGGATGAGAATGGCCATTCTATTTCTGTACCTACCGCGTCTCACGCCTCTGAGAAAGTTTTTCCTAATCGTGGTGTGAAGATGCAGCGACAACAAACGCACTCTGAACCGTCTTCACCAAATGGAAAACAACCAGCCACTGAAAAAAAGGAGGTGGAGGTAGCAAAAGAGGTGGAGGAGTACGCGCTTCGTCAGCTACACGAAGCAGCTTCATACAAGGTTGCGCGAATGCGACAGGATTGTCAGGGGGAGCTTCAATGCGCTGTGGACTTTATGCAAGAAGAGGTGGAGAAAATGCGTCGACTTAATGCGCGCGAGCGTGATGAGTTTGAGGCCTCTGTGAGAGAAGATTTAACAGCCGTACGGCAAGCTGAAGCCCAATTAAAGGCGCGTGCTGCTGAATGTGTGCAGTCGCTTAACCAGGAGCTGACCGAGATTCAGGCACTGAGCGAGTTGCTGAAAGGTGAGGTGGGCAGACTTCGAGAAAAGCTATTGGTCGCCCTTCAACGCTCCGAATCTGTGGAGGAAGAGTCACTTGTTCGACTCAAATCGATGGTCGATGAAGACATGAGATCGATGGAGGAGAATTTGTTGCAATTGATATCCTCAACAAATCCACTTTCCTTTTTGGCAAAATATCTCTCGCGAAAGCTAGACAGTGATGAGGCATACAGGGCTTAGAATAGGATTGAGTGGCGGGTGCGGGTGCTGGGATCCGTATAGAAGTGTGCATAGAAGGTCTGTGAGAGAGAGAATAAAAAAAAAAGGTGGGAGGGCGATCATACTACATCTGCATTGCAGTGGATATAGATGGCAATATTCAGAGTGCATCTTCTCAATTGTCGTTGTTTTTTTTTTTTTTTTTTTTGCGAAAAAACGAAACAAAACAACAACAACAACAAACTGTTGATTTCTATTTAGAGACACATTGCTGTTCTCTTGTTCTTTCTCTTTCTTATCCTTTTACTCTTTGTCTCTTTGTGTGTTTTGTGAAGCAATATTTCTGACTTTTTAATTTATTTATTTTTTCTTGACACCGTCACAGAAGAAGGAGAGGTGCGGGGGAAAGAGGGGAAAAAAAAAGATAAAAAGGAATCTAAAACAGGGGTTTTCCGCAACCGATGTTGAACGTTCGAGGAGAACTGTTCCGAATGGAGCGTCTCAATGCAACGTGGTGGGAACGGTGAGGCCATCGGCTTTTCCTCCTCAGTTGTAAGGTGGATGGGGGCCTTAGAGGCCCTGCGCAATAGCCGCATAGATGATTACGAAAAGGCTCAGTATCGCCTTGCCTCTCTTATGAAGTGGGTGAGGGGAACTTTGTCTCTCTTGTAGGAAAAGTGAAGTTTTTTGAGTATCACACGCCGAGCAGGGGTGTCCAATTCCATTCGGCAAAACATAAGT